ATTACCGAATCCAACACCAGCAAATACACTGGCTAGATGCATTTTGGATCTGGCTTCAAAGTCATCTGCATTCTTCACAGCTCTATAAAGTTAAACATTGTTTTTATTGCATGCCTCACTCTCATGTAAATTTGATACATAGTTTAGAATAGTGTTTTGCCACCATTGTTCATGTTCATTTTTGATGCATCTAATAAATATAAATAAATACATCCCATAATATCTGGCAAATGATTCTCTGCACTCAGGCGCAAGCTTCCATGTTCGATCAGCAATAATATACAAGCTTTTCTGGAGTCTGATCTAAAACTCCTTTGAAAAGTATTTATATTAAAGGGACTCGTAGCCCAAATTTGTCTGCTCTTTTTCTTATATTCTTCAATATTTCTGGAAATGAATCCTAATTTTGGAGCCAACAGACAAAATTTGAGTCAATTTTAGTTATTACTCAAAAAATTTGATTATTTTTGTCCCAATCTTCTGAAAGAAAGTGCAGACTATAAACAGGACTATTTTCTGAATTTGTGATAAAAAGAAGAAACTGGCGGTGAAAAAATTAATAGATATTTTCAATCAAAGAGAAAATTATATATCATCTATTGCATGATGAGATAGGAAACATGGATATGTACCTCTTTTGTACTCCTCTCCCTGTCAAAGACAGTTAGACACATCATTACGAAATACCTCAAAAACAAATTGAGTGAAATATAATACAATAATTGATAGATTACCTTCGCATATATTTTTTTATTATCTTGAGTGCATCCAATGCCCAAATATCACTAATTGGATTACTACCTTGATAGGCTGGTCTTTCAATTGGATTACTGGGACGAGGGGTTCGCTCATTAAATGGAATAGCCGTGTAAGACTCTAAAGCATGGCTAGAAAGCAAAAAAAAAACATAGTTAAACTAATGAACAGCTTGCCTGTGATTGCTAGAGAACTGTAAGAGTAAGTAGATGCGTTAATGAAATGATCACAGACCTGTAGCTGAAATGTGGTTAATGTAAATTGAATCAGAAAACAAAATGGCCACCAATCAACCATTTCAAATTTGATCAAAGTGTATCAAGGTTCCATAATGTTCAATGTGTGTAGTAAATCTCAAAGAAATCCATACATATGTCACTGAACATTCATGTAATGAACTGCAGAAATGATTTATTTTGATGATTTTTTGCCCTAAAATAACCACCATTCAATAATTATGAATTGGATCATGAAATTAATGTATACACGTGTGACAGGATGTATGTGTGACGTTTGAAAATTGATTCAGGCATATGGGTGCACAGAGGTGAATTAAGTCCAAATTGGATCTAATAATTGTATTATACAAGATCAATAGAGAATTGAAGATATTGTCACGAAATGATCATTATTCATGTATTGTCATGAATAAATCTGACAGAGGTTCACCAAAAATTATCTACATACTAAATAGCAAAGTAATTGAGTTGGTAGTTTTCTAGAAGAAGTCGAAAATAGATTTGTTGACGGATGGACAGCGACAGCGACCAATCACCTATATGAACAGCTGCGCTCAGTCATCTTTGATGACTGAAGAGCTAAAAACTCTTCAAATCGAGTCACTCTTAACCAATAAATCTTGCTTATCATTTTTTGTTTTTTAATTATAGTTTTCATCCCCCAAAAATTCAAAACTATTTAAACCTAATTATTAGCCCTATTTTAAAATTAAATCTCACCACAAGACATCAAACCCGCTATAAGCAGCAACGCTTTCAGGCATATGTAATGTATGCAGTGGATCCACGATACCAAGCAACGGTCGGATAGTACGACTGCCAATTCCTATAAATATATAGAAAGAAACAAAAAATAGATATGTCAGTGATCAGTTTGTGCGATAGTTTGTGGCCAGTTTGTGTGAGAGTTTGTGGTCAGTTTGTGTGAGAGTTTGTGGTCCGTTTGTGTGAAAGTTTGTGGTCAGTTTGTGTGAGAGTTTGTGGTCAGTTTGTGTGAGAGTTTGTGGTCAGTTTGTGTGAGAGTTTGTGCGATAGTTTGTGGTCAGTTTGTGTGAGAGTTTGTGGTCAGTTTGTGTGAGAGTTTGTGTGAGAGTTTGTAGTCAGTTTGTGTGAGAGTTTGTGGTCAGTTTGTGTGAGAGTTTGTGGTCAGTTTGTGTGAGAGTTTGTGGTCAGTTTGTGTGAGAGTTTGTGGTCAGTTTGTGTGAGAGTTTGTGCGATAGTTTGTGGTCAGTTTGTGTGAGAGTTTGTGGTCAGTTTGTGTGAGAGTTTGTGGTCAGTTTGTGTGAGAGTTTGTGGTCAGTTTGTGTGAGAGTTTGTGGTCAGTTTGTGTGAGAGTTTGTGGTCAGTTTGTGTGAGAGTTTGTGGTCAGTTTGTGTGAGAGTTTGTGTGAGAGTTTGTAGTCAGTTTGTGTGAGAGTTTGTGGTCAGTTTGTGTGAGAGTTTGTGGTCAGTTTGTGTGAGAGTTTGTGCGATAGTTTGTGGTCAGTTTGTGTGAGAGTTTGTGGTCAGTTTGTGCGATAGTTTGTGGTCAGTTTGTGTGAGAGTTTGTGGTCAGTTTGTGTGAGAGTTTGTGGTCCGTTTGTGTGAGAGTTTGTGGTCAGTTTGTGTGAGAGTTTGTGGTCAGTTTGTGTGAGAGTTTGTGCGATAGTTTGTGGTCAGTTTGTGTGAGAGTTTGTGGTCAGTTTGTGTGAGAGTTTGTGGTCAGTTTGTGTGAGAGTTTGTGGTCAGTTTGTGTGAGAGTTTGTGTGAGAGTTTGTGGTCAGTTTGTGTGACAGTTTGTGCGATAGTTTGTGGTCAGTTTGTGTGAGAGTTTGTGGTTAGTTTGTGTGAGAGTTTGTGGTCAGTTTGTGTGAGAGTTTGTGTGAGAGTTTTGAATGAATGATGCATTTTATTGCAAAGTTGTTTTTGCATCTAAATTGCAGGTACATTCCAGTTCCATTCCCAGCATTATACTACCAGTAATGTTATATTTTTGGGGGCATCTTTCAATGTTAAAACAGCAATTACTTTGTATAATTGAACATGTATTCCTATATGTATGATGTATGTGCCAAATATGAATGAAAATGGTCCATAAGCTTTGGAGATATAGCATGGTCAAAAAGCAAGACGGCTGACAGTCAGCCACCTTTGATCTGATTATGAAACAAATTGTTATAGACATGTAATCTTAAATGCGCAATGTATGTACCAGATTTGAACAAAAGCAGATAAAGCATGCATAAGATATCACATTTTCAGTCGGCCATCTTTTATCCGATCACGAACAAAATCATCATAGACATATGTATACTAACATGTATAATGTAGGTACCAAATTTGAACAAAAACTGACAAAGCATGCATGAGATACCACAATTTCAAACAAGCAGCCTATCGGCTGAGATAGCTCCGCTGTTAGCAATGCACATTTCAATTAAAGAACTGAAGACATCATTAGAAAATGAACAATATGTATAGTATCAAAGCAATCGAACTTACAGTTTTTAACAAGAAGTCGAGAATATCACTTTTTACCAAAATGACAAAAATATTCACCAAAATTAGAGAATTGAAGTTATCATCACAAAATGAACAAATCTGAGAGAGGTCCACATGTAGTACCTATATATGTAATATCAAAGCAATCTGACTTACAGTTTTTAACAAGAAGTCGAAAATATCACTTTTTACCAAAAATGACAAAAATAACCACCAAAATTAGAGAATTGAAGTTATCATCACAAAATGAACAAATCTGAGAGAGGTCCACATGTAGTACCTATATATGTAATATCAAAGCAATCTGACTTACAGTTTTTAACAAGAAGTCGAAAATATCACTTTTTACCAAAAATGACAAAAATAACCACCAAAATTAGAGAATTGAAGATATCATCACGAAATGAACAAATCTGAGAAAGGTCTACATGTAGTATCTATATATGTAATATCAAAGCAATAGAACTTTTGGTTTTTAATTAACAAGAAGACGAGAATATCACTTTTTACCAAAAATTACAAAAATATTCACCAAAATTAGAGAATTGAAGATATCATCACAAAATGAACAAATCTGAGAGAGGTCTACATGTAGTATCTATACATGTAATATCAAAGCAATTGAACTATTGGTTTTTTAACAACAAGTCGAAAATATCACTTTTTACCAAAAATTAGAAAAATATTCATCAAAATTAGAGAATTGAAGATATCATGAAATGAACAAATCTAAGAGAGGTCTACCCAAGGTACATATACACCAAGTATCAAAGCATTCAGGCTTGTAGTTTTCAAGAAGAAGTCGAAAAAGTAAAACATTGACACGGACGACGACGGACAATCACTCATATGATAAGCTCCGCTCGACAAAGTCGCCAGCGGAGCTAAAAACAAAATGGTTGCCAATAGCCCATCTTTGAACCGATCGTGAAAACAAATTGTCATAGACATGTATCCTAACATGTATAATGTGTGTACCATATTTGAACAAAAACTGACAAAACATGCATAAGATACTACATTTTCAAAAAACAAAATGGCTGCCAGTCAGCCATCTTGGATTGAACCAGTAAACCACTGCACGTGCATATGTCCCAGATAAAGTACTAGGCACATACAAAGAAAGAACAGATTTGGTCCACAGGGTTCTGAATTATGACGGACAGACCAACAGGAGGATGGATGGATAGACAGACAGACGGAAAGACGAAGACCGAATGATTCATTTGAATGGGTAATAAAATAATAAAGTAATAAAAGGGCTGAGCGGGAAAAGTTTCTGCACTTTTTTCTTATATTCTTCAATATTTCTGGAAATGAACCTTAATTTTGGAGCCAGTACACAAAATTATAGAATTTTAGTCAATTTTCACTCAAAAAAAATTGTTTTGTGACAGTGAGCATTTCACTCATAACATGTTAGTAAAATTTAGTCAAAAATTTGGCAAAATTTCTTTCATAATATTATTCTTACCTGTTTTTGCTTTTAATGGTTCATAATCAAAAATAGCTACCCCAGTAGTTTCGCTTCCAGTACCTGCAGTCGTTGGAACTGAACACAAAAGAAATATTTCACATTTTAAACTGGAACAGAAAAAACATTCAGTTAACATGACAAAGAAATAAAACATTTGACACAATCAGGGCTGATTTAAAATTATATTTTTCAAATGAATGATGCATTTTATTGCAAGGTTGTTTTTGCATCTTGCACATACACCTTCTGTTTCATGCCTGGCTTTATACTAATGTTATATTTTTGGGGGCGTCTTAGGGTGAACCTTGGTAAGATTTGTATGCGAGTGGTTGTGTAGTGACCTTGACTGGTGGATTGACATTCAACTTACTAGCTATCAATGGTTTGGCCTTTATCTTACCAGCTATCAATGGTTTGGCCTTTATCTTACTAGCTATCAATGGTTTGACATTCAA